GTAGGATTACTTGTGGCACAGGTCCTAAAGCAGGACCCTGAGAATGCAGAATGCTTGTGTGATGTAGGCTTACTTGTGGCACAGGTCCTAAAGCAGGACCCTGAGAATGCTCTTGTGGTGTAGGATTACTTGTGGCACAGGTGCTAAAGCAGGACGCTGAGGTTACTTTCGCGGTGTAGGATTACATGTGGCACAGCTCCTAAAGCATGACACTGAGGTTAACGGTTACTTTCGCGGTGTCTGTAGGATTACTTGTGGCACAGGTGCTAAAGCAGGACACTGAGAATTCTTTTGCGTTGTAGTCAGCCTTCATGTTTGACTTCCATCCCGCTTGCGCCCCACACCTCCTGAGGAATCGGGCATGCAAAGCTGACCTTGCATGAGCTGCGCACGATGGGGATGCCAACATTCTTGCCCGCCAAGACTTTGATGTACCGAGTAGAGGATGGGCCCGCCGACGGACCCAATGGATGATCGACTGTCGGCACCCCGGCACCCGCCGTGGCACACGGCGTGGAGAAACCGCACACATGGCTTCTGACATGTGTTTGTTCGATGCACGGCTTCCATTGAAAGCTTCTGACATGGTAACAACTAGCCCTATACAGGTCAATGACCTCGTTTCCGGAGTCTGTCAGACCAAGTTTTACTGAGTCTTTGGACTTGTAGTAGGGTTGTTTCAGTGGGACAACGGACTCTATTCGCCACATATCAGCTCAGCAGCTGTTTTCTAACTTCTGATCCGTGATCCAAGTTTCAAATACTGGAGCCGCTGTATAAATACAACTAAAGCAACATCACCGTTCAAGCAGGCACCCATGAATTTCGACAACTGCACGGTCGAAAGTGACAACTAAATAACTTGTAGCCGACTGAGGGTTGCTCACTACATCAATTCTCAAACAGTACCATGTCATTCATGAGTTTCCAAACACTTGTGTTGTTAAGAATCACTTATATACTACTAAAACTACTGTTTTGTGCTTGATACTGAGATACCTCCATCAGACAAACAACAGTGCTGTATTAAAGTTGTTTGGCCATGTCACCATACGCTACAACTGCTAGTGACAGCTGGATAGTTTGACCTTTTGGCCAATTTCTTATTGGATCTTCTGTTCACTTCTTTAGATTGATGTCACCCGACGTCACCTGTTCCTTCCAAAACCCACGTCCAAACCCTCCGGGTCGACGTTGACCAGGAGCTGATCCTCGACCGGCGCCAGCCCTACAGCGGCAGCCACGAGCCCGAATGGACGGGGGACACTAGGAGTCGTAGGGGGTCGGACTCGTCGGACATCCGTTATGGGTATGCAGATTGGGTATGCAGCTTGGGTCTGTCCGTTCTGGGCTCCCTGTAACAGTTAGGTTTCACCACGCTAGTGAGTCGGCGGACATGTGTGTTCTGGATCACGGTTTTGAAGATTGTAGCCCTATACCAATCTTGGCTGGTTCATTCGGATTGTAGCAATGAATTGCTATTGTATTGTATTCGGATTGTAGCCTATTACGGTATTCGGACCAGTGGAGGATGTGGAGCTTGAACTCTCGGGCGGCGTCGGGGCATCGGAGACGTCTGCGCTCCACCTGCGCCGGCCAGTCAGGTGGTTTAACCCTGTCAGAGGAATACAGGAGCAGCAGGATAGGTCTGGGCCAAAATATCAGCAGTTACACTCCTGCAAGTGGATGGCATTGGCCCCTCGCATGACCATTTTCCTCTACAAACAGGTTGTTGTCCACTTCGATGATTCCAAGAGCAGTTATAGTTGATGTCGGACGGGAAGTTTATCGACCGGCAGTTGGATTGGGAACTGCACAGTCTTCCGCCGCGATGCCACGAGCGTTTTCTCACCGTTTCGACGGATTGCATGAAATAGGTGTCCTCTTCGCGCCCAAGTCGGTTTCCTGTCAATTGCTGAGAAAAGCAACCTTGTTCCTACACCCCTTTAGCCATCTTTAGCCCCTTTGTCTGACCCATGACTTGCCCAACAAGGTCATGATGGCTGTGGAGAGTCCACAGCTGTGTTGCTCGGCAATTTGTGCAGACTTCGTTCTCGGATGTGCTTCGACCCACCCCAAACGGGTGGAGAGAATTTCAATGGGTGCAGCGGAATATACACTCCTGCAAGTGGATGGCATTGGCCCCTTGGATGACCATTTTCCTCTGCAAACAGGGGTTTTCCACTTCCATGTTAGTTTCAGGGAGTGTATTCCAAAAAGCCATGGCCATGCGACTTCCATGAGTCAGAGTTCTTCGTCAGAGTGTACTTGAGGTATTGTTGGAAGAATTGGAGGGGGCAGAGGTCGCGAATCACCTCGGTCGACCGAGGCGCGTGACAGCACCCTGGGTCTTGGAGCTATGTGGCTGGCGACGGCATGCCTATTTCATGGAATGGTCGAGCTTCTATCGGTATCCCTACTTCTTTCATTTTGAAAGTACCTAGGCAAGCAGCAGCCCCAGATGCTGTACCTGAAGCCCTTTGTCAAAAGGGACATGGAATTTGGCACTGGCAGATGCGTACTGTCCACGAACTGTGCGATGATCAAGGCTGCCTCAACCGGCATGTGTACCTGACTGTCAGTTTGGCCAAGAAGATTTAGACTGTCTATACTGTGCTCTCGGTTGTCCCAAGTCGTCACAGTCTCCGGAGCTCTTCACATAGCTTCTTGCTACTAGTAGTAATGGCCTCCGACCTACTAGCGATGGCCTCCAACCTAGAAGCCTTTGTTACCAGTAACTTCTCACATCACCCTAGAGAGGTTGAGCAGCCGTATAGGCTATCCCATATGTACCACGATAGGGCCCCAGTTCAGGTCACTTGACCTCTCTTGGCGCCTCTGGAGATCCCGTTGATTCCCGTTGCGGGGTGACCGGACCCTGTGATCCATCGCGGACCCGCGCCTCGCACGGCTTCCAAGGCATCGGCCACTTGCTGCAGCTGGTGAACTCGATGACGTTGCCAGAGCTCTGGGCGCTCAGTGTGCGCATGCGGAAGCTCAATGCGCGGCTGCGGGCGGAAGAGGTGCGGGTCAAGTCAGAAGGGGCAGGGTTTCAGGGCTTCAGCAAGGCCGCGGAGGGTCGGTGGGGCGATGGCGTGGCTGGGACAGCGAAATCGATCCCTCAAAAGATCGTAGAAGGATACGCCACCCTAAAGTGAAACCTCAAACCTCTGTTGAGAGGCAGGACTCCTTTTTTGGAAGGGACATCCATATTATGTCATGCCATCTTCCATGTTGGGATTTCACTCGACTGTGTTTCAAGTGCTTCATAATGTTCGTCAATCCACCAGAAACGTCGCACGAAAACGACGTCGCACGACGGGTCCGCGACCGGGTCCGAAACTAGTTGCGGTCTGAAAAACACTGGGTTGTAGAGGAAAATAGTCTTCCAAGGTCTGTCTGCAGGTTCCATGTTAATTTGTGCAGCTGATTTCGACATCGAAACCGCTTGAGGTGAAGTTTTGGGGAGACCTCATCCTGGCGCTCGCCTTATGACTCTGGTCACTGCTCTGGTTGCTCGAGCTTTTTTCGACCATCGGTGCGGTGGGTCGAGCGGTGGCGTGGGTGGGTCGACCATCTCCACGTTGAATCCAGATGTGAGAGGGACACAATGGCCTTGAGATGCGGCTCACGACCATGGCAAGACCTGCGCGAGGTACCTCTAGCACCAGGACATGTGAGGTGATGGTGGGGCTGTGGGGTGGGACGTGGAGACTATAAGCTGAGCGAGCAGACGTTTGCAACAGTTGGAGGCTGGAGGTCCATTCGTGCATTCTCCAAGTGCAGGGTTTGATGTGCAGATCTGACAGTTTTTGCTTGGAACAATGGTGTTTGGCAATCACAACGATGGCGATGTCATTGTCATGGAAGGGATTGAAGCACGGCTATATCAAAGTACTTTTCACTTGCTCATTGTGATTTGATTGTTTATTTTTGCTTGCTCATTGTTTTGTGTTTGTTTCTTGTTTGGTTATTAGAATGTAATTATATGATATAATAATTTATTATGGAACAATATGAATTACTAACACAAACAATTCGTGTTCCACGATAACGTTTGTTGGAACGCTTAAACAACGACCGTGCACGGATCTGTGGATCTGTTCGCTGAAAGACCGGTAGTGAACTAGTGAACTTGCTGCCCGGAGAGCAGTGCTCCAAGAGGGGAAGCACTGTCCACTTCCATGTCAAACAAATACATTGTGGCACTGTCCACTGTATTTCAAGGGTGACACGGCTTTTGAGTTCCATTCCAAGGGTGGCACTGTCCACTCTATCAGTTTCATTTGCAACATGTTGGGTCCTTTCGACCACATGAGGTTGGAGACTGTGACGTTCGATCCATGTGACAGGCAAGTAGACCGCCCATTCCAACCGCGTTCGTCCAACTGAGCGGTGAGGGAGCGAGCGAGCGCGAGCGCCCGCTGGCGCCCCCCCAATCCATGACCAGGGCCCCAAAAAGGGCCAAGTGAGGGAGTTGTCATTTGAGGAAATCCTTCAACGTCCTCATCATCCACAGTTTGAGTCTATTGAATTGCATCGTTATTGCTTTCTTCAAACTTTGAGCAACAATAACCAGAGTTCGCCGTGGAGCGAGAGCAAAAAGGATTGAGCAAGCTGGTGCTGAATGCAGCAATTGTGCAATGACCAGCAGATGAGACTTTGTGCATCGTGTTCGTAGGTGTTTAACATGATGCAGCCTTTAAATCTGTTACATTCTTCCAGACCAAGGGTTGTGCGCTCTAGGTTTTTGTGATGATCTTGATGGAGTCTGGTGTAGCTTTGCTGCTGTCAGCGTTTGAACAGGCCCTACCATAACTTGTACCGTTCACCGATGCTGTTCTTTTGAAGCATGCTTGCCTCACACTGGAGGAAGAAGGCCTGGACGAAGGAGAAGGCCGCTGTTGGTGTTCGGCAATCCGCATCGTTGGATTGCACTCATCGTTCGGCAGCTCGTTCTCGGCATCTGTGGATCCGCATCGTCGGTCAGTCGATTCGCTGTTCGGTTCACCTTCCCTTCACTCTGACGAACGCTACGCCGCTACACTCGATGAACACGTTTTCATGGGAACATGGTCCAAATGGTCCCGAACTGGGAAGACGACGAAACTGGGGGGCCTGGGTCCACTTCCATGTTACGTTAGTGAGACAGAAGTCCATTGATTCATGGTTCGTTGATGGTTCCAAACATGATGGACTTGCGTGTTTTCTCGCGGAAAGAAAAGCCCTCTCTTCGACCATCTCAGTGAATTATGTCAGAATGTTTTGGATGTTCCCAAACTGTAGAGTAGTTTGCATGCGGTCCAGAACCTTGACTATCAAGACCTGCAGCCAGGTCCACTTACACTGGCCACTTGTTGCAACTGGAGGAATCTCAAGGGCTTTGGAAGAAATTGGGGTATTCTCTGCCAAGGTACTGCCGTGGCATGCTATAGGAAACTCAAGTCAGTCGAAGTGCGATCCTTTTTCAAGCCACCGGACCATGAACTTGACATTCTGTTGCTTTAAAAGATGCGGATTTCTTCCGATCCCTTCTGGCCCGACGCTGGATTTGGTCCATGGACGGACCAAGATCAAGATCAGCTGAGCGGAATTGGTGACTCGCCAGGTCTTGGGGATTTGTGAAGAGGGGCGATCCCAACGAGGACGGCCCGTTTCGCGCCCGATGTCCGACACGTATGCTTTGTCTTGCTTGTCTATCATCAGTATTCGGTTGTGAACGAGATAGGGCCCCCACATAAACGAGATGCTTTTTCTTGATGGCACTTAGTCTGAACAAGCTAGTGTGCTCTGCTACTAAAGTAGTTAGTCTGAACGAGATTTTGTGACATGACCTCATACTTAATTACTGTAGTCTAAATGAGATAGGGCCCCGCATAATAGATTCGATAGTGTTTTTGAGTTTAGTACCAAAATAAAATCCGCTGCACGCTTGGACATGCCGCCACCGACTGGTGGACTGTGTGGCTTTTACATGCTACAGGGGCCTCTGGACTTGCCGCTGACAGATGCTATGTATTATGCAGGTGTTCACCAGTCTAAGACCTGAGGCCAAGAATACATATATGGCCCGATGATGCCCCATGGCCCCATGATGCCCCATGCAGATATAAGATTTGAATTAGGCTTATTCTGGGAGATGTTCTTGGTCAGCCTTGGTCAATGCTTGTGCGTTAGCCTATCCCTTTACAACTGGATGTCCGTCAATTGTTGTCAATCGCTTTCAGATGTTTTCTTTGATTCATATATGACTGAAGTTGCCCTGCACAGTGGGACTTGCAGGTCAACCAGTGTGCCAAAGTTGCCCAGTGAAGGTCAACCAGTCCACACGTGGTGCCTCCTGCAGTGCCGGCACAATGGATTGAGAGTACAGACCCCAAGAGGTGGTCTGTAACCCCATCTGTCTAGGACATTTTGAGTCTTGGGGTGTGTGCCACTGTATTTGACCTGCGCCTTTTGTGGGACTCCTCCGTCCAAAAGTTCGTGACGTGCATGTTTACAACCGAAACAGGAGATGCGCCGACGAGAGCTGCGGTGTCCGGAAAGCGGCTCGCTCTGCTGGGAGATGTCGATCATGTCGGACCAGCAAAAAGCGGGGGTGGGCAGCGTCCAAAACTCCCAAGTCAAGAATTGAAACGGGCTATGCAACTCTCATAGAATCATAGGTTGGAGGCCATCGCTATTAGGTTGGAGGCCATTTAGTAGAAAGGAATTCGATTCAGGCTTTGAATAGCCCGCTATTGTTTTCGCGGTGAACGGTTTGTTCGGAAGTCCCCAGTGTCACTGAACATGACAAGGTTCTAGAATGGGGGCTTGATTAATCAAGAGTCTATGTATGGTGTAAACCATTTACCATGTGGCATATGTGGTGTTGAGCAACAATCGAACTCCGCAGCCTTTGGCTTTTTTGAGCGCAGGAGCAGACGGGGAGCGATTCCGATGCGTTTTGGTGGGCTCTTCACGGTCATGTTTGGAACATGTTGGAATGCAAATTCACTAAAAGGTGTTGAAGACTGGTCAAATGGGTTCTAGGTAGTTACAGGATCTGAGGTCGCTACACGGAAGATTTATCATGTGTTGATTTCACACAGACACCCGACCAGACTAGTCAACACGCCACGCGACCTGAGCAGACGCGGAAGGCTGACGGGAGCAGAGTCGGTAGCGGGCCCCCCATCCGCTGCCCATGTGCTTTGGACGGAGATGATGGAGTCTCTCGGCTTCAATGGACTACTGTGTCTTGAGAAGAAGTCGACTACTGTATTTGATTGTATTTGTAGTATATGCATGTATAGCAGCCTATACTGTATACTCCTATACAATATCAATATTAGTTGCTGTTGTGTTTTCAATCTTCCTGATCAACCAAGATGAATCTAGGATGTCATAAGTGTCATAACCATCCAAAAGCACGTTTACCACCAGCGTGTCCTGTTCTTTCGCAATCCCAAAGTATTTGCTGTTTGTGTTCAATCGCAAATTCCTCGACTGAACAATGTTCTGGTCAATCGAAACGCAGACAGTTTGGATGGCATATAAGTTTCTTGAGCCATCACCACTTGGACATGTTCCCCTGAACATCTTCGCCATGTGGTTTCTTCTGTTTTTTGTTTCCCTGCACAATATGGTTTCACATGTTGCATGTTCACTGCTCAACATGCTCAACATCGATCAGAGATGATCAGAGTCCGGCCCCATGATGTACATACTCACATGTGTATTCCAGAAAACGCTTGCTTCGGAGCTGCTCAAGGCGTGCTGCTTACCTCTGTCGACACCACACGCGCGTGAACCAGATGGCCCTCTCTCGAGGATATGTGCATGTGTGGGTTGAAATGGAGAGAGGCCTTTCCAGATGACCGCAGATGACTGGACTGGAGGAGTTAAGTCAGATGTGTTGGAACTAGCCAAGACCCAGAGGGTTTCCATACATTGGGTTTGTGGTGTGTGTTTTTTGTGTCTGTTTGAATGGTTTGTGGATTTTGTGTGGGTGTGTGCAAAAAGATTCACAAATCATGCATGTCAATGTTCACTTTGGGTGTCTATAGCGTATGTGTGTGTGAGATGTTTGTTTCTTGTTCAACAGATGTGGCTGTGTGTTTAAACGGGACTGCAACATACTGTCCGCTTCATCATGGTCTTGCTGTTTCTTGTGAAAAGGTGCAGGGAGTTTGTAGTTATCACCCGAGCGAGTACCCAAGCATGGACTTGGCAGAAGTTGTCCAGATTCTGGATATTGCAAACAGCAGGGGGCATTAAGAAGACCTCCAGAGCACTTTGCTTCCCTCCCATGATTTCTGTGGTGGTTTGATTAATGCCTTCACCATGTCAGGAGTAGCCCAGAAGTTGAGCAACCCTAAGGAAGAACTTGAGCAAGCCGAGCAACTCCACAAATCACAAAAATGGCATTGCCACTTCCCCACTCGTTGGTTTCTCAGAAACACTTCGTCGGTTTCTCAGACGGTTGGGATTGTGTGTTTGGATGATGTTGTGCAAGTATTTGATCAAATACCGTTCTTGAGAAAACGCAGATCGTGTAAGTATTGATAGTTCTGTATTTGATCAAACCTGTTGTGCCAGTATTTTCCAAGAAATCACAGCCGTTCTTCGGTAGTTAATTTGCCTTTGCCTTTGCATTTCTGAAGTGACCAGGACCGAAATCAGTGCAGGCACGGGGACACCCCTTGCACAGTCTTGTTGCCCAGAGCTGGTGCCACAAAGAGCCTTTTTCAAAAGAGCGCTGGACTTACTTCAACTCTATTAGATGTACAAATAGAACAACATGTTGGAAACTTAGTTTGTGAAGAGAAGTAATTATGTCAGCTCCAGACTTTTGGTTTCAACATGGTTGGAGTTCATGGGGACGTGGAACATACCGACATACCAAGTGGCTGGACGTGCCAAGAGACCAGGGTTCGGCCGGAAGCCTGGAACCGGACCGAAACGCAGTTGTTTTTTCGGATGTATTCGGACAATGATTTCTTGAGACCCTCTGTAAACGAGTGCAGCATGCTTGTGCCGAAGGCGAGAGGCTCGTCATTGACCTCTCAGAGCTCTGCAGAGCAGCCATCAGGCAGTGTAGAGAAAGTTATGGAGGCAAACTACCTCCGAGGTATGGGATGGCTTGGGTATTATTCTTTCCGAGGGGGTCCTCATTTTGCCCCACAAAGCATGAAAATTCTCCTTAGACTTGATTGCCCACGTTTGTTAGGTCCAAGTCATTGAGGAATTCAACCATGCGTGGCTTTCAGTGCGGCCACTAAAAGCTAGCGTGGATGACTGTGTTGAACGCTTCTTCCTGGCCTTTGGGGGTCTTACTGGATGGAAAGGAGTACAATAGTTGTTATTGGTGATGTTTAATTTTCATCTATGCCCATATATATATATTTATACAGCCCATACACGTCCATGCGATTTTGAAGACCACATGGAAGAAGTGAGAGAAGCAGGGAAGATCATTCAAGTCTCTTCAAGCTGAGAATTGGTGAGTCGATGGACGTGTAAGGAGAAAACAATGACAAAAACGTACAATTGCCGTGCATGCGTCCGGTCTGTGCCAGATGCCTCCAGGCAGTGCTAAATGCCGACCGAACAGTCATATCGTTTGGTAGTACTTGACGTTTCCTCAAAGTTCTTGTTTTGTGGAGGCCATCGCTACTGGCTTGGAGGCCATTGCTATTAGGTTCCTTTTGCTATTAGGTTGGAGGCCATCGCTATCAGGGAGTGTGTGAACCGCTGGAGCCGCCGGCCGACCTGCCGCGGACCTGCCACCGATCCGTTGGAGCGCCAGGCTTGGACAAAGCTTCCAGCCACGGACCAGTCGTTGCGGTACAGAGACCCACCAGGCATCGGGATGGGGAGACATTGGTCGTCCATGTTGGGAACTCAACCGATTAGCTTGCTATATATATATAGTATAGTATTATGTAATATTGTAATATATATATATGTTTCTATACAGTTGTACTGACCTCAGAACATGATAGAGCAGAAAGGAAATCCATTCTTTTGGTGACATTGATTGTCCAAATGCCCACCTCCCCAACACAATCCTCGCCTTGTCCTGACTCATTTTCTCACGATGTGGGCCAAACAATATCCTGGAAGGCAGAGGAGAATTCCCGATGTTTACACCCAAACAGTGATATACATCTATAGTACCCAATTTCTGGACTCAATTATGTAAGTAATTCCATACATGAATGGTCTAGTGGTTTTGTATCTCACAGTCACCTCTCTTGAAATCTGCGGAACCATATGCCATGCCATGAGGAACCATACACCCCATACGCATGCGCCCCACCGTTCGGCCCTGGTGGAACCCTTCGGAGGTCTGTCTTCTCCCGGATCAGTGCGGTGGCGATCAGCATGTGGTCGCGGCCGGGAGACTCACAGCGCACGAAGAAGCGGTGGCGACGGTGGGCGGCCCCAAGGTGGGCGACCGTGGGCGGCGGTGGGACGTGGGATGCGCCCTAAACGCCGCGCCGTTGGCGCAGAGCTTCCCCAAGTTTCAACGATTTCCTTGAAGAAATGCTGGGTCTTTGGTCGTTCTCGTTTTAAATAGTATCATTGTTTATTGGACAAGGCCGCACAATTCCTGTGCGAATTTCTCTAAAAAATAGGACAACCCGGGTTGTCTTAAAGAATGAAATCAGTAACAGGTGGGCGACCTTGGCAACGATGCAAGCACAAGGGTCCATGCAGCTGCTTCCCGCGACAACGACAACAAGAACAAGAAGAAGAACAACAGCAACAACAACAACAACAACAACACACACACAGGACCTGGTACTGGATGTTTGGTTTAAACCTGTCTTGAGTTGCCACGCATCACTTACTCCTGTTCCTAAGTGGCTCGCACACCGACTTGCCGCCCAGGCGACTGCGCAAAAGCAAGGTTTTTGGATTGAAAGCGCAGGAGTCGCAGGAGGCAGTTGTTGTGAGATCTACGAAACTCTGCAACATGTGTTGAAGTTCTTTGGGAAGCCTTTTGAGGGTCGGCTTCCTTTGAATGTGTGGACGATTGTAGATGTCAATTGGGAGGCCGAGAAAGATGCCCTTGATGATGGGACAACATGGTCCTGGAGGAGATCAAAGCCATGTTTGAATTTCATTGAATTTAACCATGCAATATATTGATATTTGCGTTCGAACAAGCCTCTTATGGAGAGGTAATGAAGACGAATCACATTGCGTTCTAGAACGATCCTTCAAGGGGCACATCTTTTTGCGGGATCCTTCAGTCTCCCTTTGTGCAGCCATTGATCAGCTTGTATTTGGCTCACAGTGTGTGCAGCCAAAATACAGAGCATGGCTTCATATTGCTTCCAGGAGAGGACTGTGGATCCTGTTCTTGGTGATTGCATACGTCTCTGTCGACGTCTTGGTCTACTTCCGGGGCACCATCGCCACGCCAGGCTGGCCCGAACTCGTGACCAAAGAGGGAGACCGCCTTGGGATCGAAAGAAAAATAGACCAGGTCTACCCTATTCAAACCCTAGGGATCCAAGTACCTTCTCAGAAGGTACCTGGACCCTCCAAACCTACATAACAGTGTCTCCAATCACCTTCTGAGAAGGTACTTGGGTCCCTATTCAAATACACACCCAAATGTTGAGACCTAGTACACGCCAAGACTGTTTTGGACGTGTTTGTTTTCCTGCTCGGCTCGACCGAATGAAGGTTGCGCTGTTCTTCTGTAAAGGGGCCAGTTGCCGTTGCCACCATGGCTGTCTCAGAAGCCTTTGGAAAACCAAACGGAAACCAAGGATTTGAGCATTCAACTTGGGGACTTGGGTTCAAAGTATATTATATGCAGCGCATTATTTAAGATATTTAAGGATTTACGCCCGACAAATTAAACATTCTTGGGGAAACCGCCAGTTTCAGGTATATATGTACATAGGTATTACATGGTGTATATGTCCTATATATAGGTGATACATGTGGACGAGCGGGTTTCGGTCGGTTGATAGTTTGTTGCGCCATCCAAAGTTGTTGACCTTGAACCTCCATGGAACTCTGAGGGGGTCGAACTGGGAGGTCTTTCAAATGTATTACACATTCAAACAATTTTGGTAGAGTAGAGTTCAATTCGCCCCGATGGAGATTACAAATCCTTGGACATGTCTTCGGATAAAATGTTTTTACATCTGCAGGCGAATGTGGAGCATGGAATGGCTTCCTTCCGAATGTTCAGACTATATGGATTTCCACTGACAAGAAGTGAAGTAGACTGAAGTAGACTCCAAATAAGACCAACACCAATTGGTTGAGGGTCTGCCTATATATTGAAATACACGGCCATTTCCACAGCGATGTCTCCACGTTTTACATGTATGTTTTTGTTCAGAATCTTTGAAATACAAGGCTATGAGGAGAAGGCAACATTTGTCATGGCCGTTGGGGTGTATGTGGGGTTTCCAACCAGCAGTTGGGTTGCAATAGCAAGTGATGGCAACACTGGTGTTTGAGCAATGTTAGCTAGATGAAGGAGGACAATATCTTGCAGAGCTGCCTTTTTTGGGGGGTGTATGATGGTTTGTTGGCAAGCCTCCTGCAGTTTCTTGGTGATTCTTGCTTGGTTGTGAGAGAAGTTTCGTACTTGATAAGGGAGACAGCCCCGACCCACTGGTCGTGCTGTAGCACTGGTCGGGTCGTGGCCCGATGACCGAGTCCATAGGCTATCACAAAGAGACCCTGGTGATTACAACGTCTACCGTTTCTATCGCAATTGGACGCATGAACGCAGCTGGGGGTGGGACGGGCGGGATGGAGATGTGGCGTTGTTTTGTTTGTTTCCCACTTGTTAGGAGAGGGTTGCTAGATTTTCAAGGGAGGTGCCGCAACTCCTCATCCTTTTTCTTCACCTCGTCGCCTCACAACAACAAAGGCCAGGTCACAGTGGGCACTCCCGGACCTCAACACCAAGCACCAGATCACAGGGCACTACCGGACCTCAACAGAGACCCCAAAAAGCAAAGGCAGGAGCGCAGTGGGCACGCCCGGACCTCAACAGCAAGCGCCAGATCACAGCGTATGGGCAACTCTCCCAACAGCAAGCGCCCACACAACACGTAACACACAAAGCACACTCACAACCACAACCACAAACACAACCCAGCACAGCCACGAGCACAACCACAAACACAGCCCAGCACAAGCACAACCACAAACACAACCCAACTCAAGCAGGACCACAGTCATAACCCAGCCACAAGCACAACCAACACAAAGCAACAACAAAGCCACCAGAAACACACCCAGCACCACAACAAACACAAACACGACACAACTATACTTCAGGGTATAGCCACAACAACAACAACAACCACAACAACAACAACAACAACAAACAACAACCAGCAACAACCACAACAACAACAACCGCAGCCACAACCACAACCACGATAACAACCTGTGTATGTGGCATTTTGCGTGGCAGGTGGATGCCAACTGGAGACCCTGGCAACACACCGGCACTCCTCAACACTAAAGCAGCGCCCCCAGACCCGAGGACCCACAAGCAAAATCAAGAACCATGGCCACATGCTGCTTCTCACCATGGCATGAAAGCAAATGATTGAAATGTCATGGTGGGGACCACTCGAAGTGACATATTCTTAAAGGAAGTGACTTGCTTGGCTTTTGTAGGTGTTTTGGATGTGAAGATTCAGTGAAGAGAGCAGAACAGACAGTCGGGTTGCGGTGTGGATCGAACTAGACACTGTTGGCGATTCTCAAGGATGTTTCTGGATGTTGCGGCAATCCTTTTGCCACTGTAGAAGGAAGGATGAAGGATGCATTGAAGTTCACCAACAGAGTTGTGGGGCTCGTGCTGTTCAGAAGGACAAAGACGATCATCACAGTGTGAGATTGCGCTCCACCGACACAGCCAAGAAGGTTCACCACTTCGTTTGAGTACAAAGGAGTTCCGCAGAGTTCCCAAGAATCCAAGGGGGCACAGTACATACAAGCAAGATCTGTTTTTGTAGGTTTGTATGGCAAATCGGTAAACCAGTGTAAGTTCCGAGTCAGATGTTGGTTTCGCTATGCCATCCAAGAACAGGTCCCTTGATCGAAACTCGTCAGACGAGGTGCCTTGTGTGCTTGGTGGACGGGACATCGCAGGTTCGGAATCCACGGAATCCGCCGCGTGGAACGTGCGAGCTGCCGAGTGTTTGTAGGTTTTTTGGCCTTGGAGTTGTTGAGTTGATGGCATTGATCGGAGAAAACATCGCAGGAAATACCATGATCTACACTCCCTGCACATTTTCGGAAGTGAATGGCCTTGGCCCCTTGGATGACCATTTGTCGAACACCAAACAAGGAATGTATAACTTGATGATCTGATAATATGTGTTGGATGTTTTGCCCTGATGACCATGTCGTTGAGAGATCGGGTGCAAACAAAAAACACTGTTTCTATGGTCTTCTCACAGAGTGTTCTGTGTTTTTGGCGTTCAAACGTGTATGTACGTTCATTCTTCAGGGTGGGTAATGGTGTCAGTGTAACGCACTAGTCATTGTAGCGGTTGGAGTGTTCAGTTTTTGTATAGGTCCCAGAACCACTGGGTTGGTATTCGGAAAATGGTTGACTCTACGGGTGAATTCTCAGGTTCCATATGGTCTGTTTGTGGGAGGGTATACGGTCTATCGCTTCAGGTGGTTGGAGGCCATCTCCAGTAGGTTGGAGGCCATTGCTAGTAGGTCATATAGGATAGACATGGATAGACAGCAGACCGTAGGCCCAGGATACACATCCGCCGGTCTGTCAGGGCTCTCGGGCAGTGCTTTGCTCTAAAGAACGCCGGGAGCTTGGACCAGCGGTTTTGAGCTCGAAGCATCTGGGAGGCTCGGGCACGGAGCTGCCGGAACAAACAAGCGGAAGAGGGTGTAGGGTCCCGCAGGATGTTACAGGGTGAGTGGAAGTTGGCCATGATCATGGTTTTGCTTAGGGTGACTGGTGTTTTTCCATATTTGGGGACATTCATCATGGATAATATCTGTTGTTTTTCATCGGTTCCTGAAGCAAATCCAAGTGACGCCCTGCGGTGCTTTGCTGATTGGGACCTCACGTGGTTGTGCTTGGACATCTTTGGGCCTTGGGCGGCCTTAAACCTAAGCCGGACGCGGCCTGTCACTGTGGGGTCGATTCCTGAGGTGTTCAATGGTTGGATCTTTGCAAGCTCCGTGTCACACGCTCAGAGCAGTACTGTACGGGCCAGCCCGCAGAACCGAAGGCTTTTGATGCGAGATGTTTCGTGTTGAAGCAATGCAGGGCTTGAGAAAGTTGGAATCACTCGCGTGGCATTGTGTTTCATAGGCCTACAAGCAAACTTGCACGGGAGAAAAGCAATAGACGTGTCGTTCGTTCAAAATTGAAGCAGTTCGTCGTGGGACCATCGTGGAACCTCCTGTTTTGCCATTTGAATGAAGAGACCTTGGATCCGAAGTCATCCGTAAAAGACTTCTTTGAAGGCATCAGTTTGATGACAGCTTTGGGGTCAGGGCAAGCTTCAGAAGCAATCAGTTCTGTTCACCCACACTGCCACTTCCAGGTGCGCATGGTTTGGTGAAACCGGAGCATCACCGAGAACTGCAGTTCCAAAGCGTCGAAGTTCCAGTCATTGACTGCAGACAGCATGCGAGGTGCTTCTCCCTCTCGAGCATTAATCTCTTGAACGCTGGAGTTCCCAGATTCCTTCGCCGGAAATCCGCAGCTTTCGGAGCCGGGAACCGGAGCCGTGTCCGGTCGGTTCAGGTCCAGTGGAGATCGAACACGCCGGGGGGGGGGGGTTGTTGTGGGGGTGCAGGGTGATGTTCACCATGGTGATCCATAGTGGACGTGTTGGTGATAGGAACTAGACCATAAACTATAGACCGCCATAGCACCCAAAGATCAATGACTGTGTGCACAGGGCGCTTGGCTGTTTGTGTTGCCATATTCCGTTTTTGATGTGCGATAACTGATGCGGCGACTGATGCGGTAGTAAAAAGACCCGTCTTTGTGACTCTGATTTGCCTGACAATGATGTCATTCTGTTGCGATCACTCCCAAGATCAATTCTCAGTACTCCCCTGCAGATTAACATGGAACCCCAACACCACTGGGTTGGTATTCGGAAAATGGTGCACACATGGAAACCACAGGTCAATTCTCAGGTTCGTTAGTTTGTGGGGGGGGTACTACAGCTGTGTGTTTGCGGCCCCAAAAAGGGACCCCCGACCCGGCGGAGCCTTACACGGGCGGTCTCGCGGCGATGTGCCACACCGCATGAGGCCTTCGACCACTTGGATGGTGCATTCATCAAGTTGGTGTCACAGGTGGGAGTTGGTGGTTGGTGTCACGCAACAAGAAGTGGACAAACACTAACGCAAAAACCATCCCATGCGCCAGCATAGATACAGAAGGCTCATGGACATCATGGACTCCTTTTGTTGCTGTTCTTTTTGGATATAGAAGTCTAGTGGGACACAGCCGGCGCCCCCAGTCCTCCGGCCCTTCAGGTGAAACTTCCGGCGGCCGCCTTGGTCTCCACCTTCGTGCTGCGCAAACGGTGCGCGCCGAGACCTCGCATGGACGCGTCGAGATGCGTCGGGGGTGCCGTCGTGCCAGGTCGCGGTGGTCGTTGCCTTTTAAGCTTCACATGGGCTTAGTGAGTGGTAAGCTTTTGCAACTAAACCCGGGTTTCTCAAAACCATCCCCAAAAATCCCCCAAATATGGGATGTTTATTGATGTTCTGTTTAATGTTTGCAGGGTTGTCACGAAAGCTAGCCATAGCTAGCTGGAGTCTCTCTTACGGCAGCCTCAAAGACGTCAAACCATTGAATTATTCAAGGTTATGAACCCCCCCTCTCCGGAGGTTCAACTCGCACTGTTGGCGTCGGATGTTTCCTTGGGTGTGATGGTCCCTGGAGACACCATGAGGCCACATTGCATGGCAGCATCGAGGTTGGCCTTGATCTCACTTCATCATCACTTTAAGTTTAATCTGCCGTCATCATTCCTGAACAAGAGCTCATGCCTCTCAACCTCACTGTCCACCATAGTCCTCACTGTCCACCGATGTATGCCAGTGTGCAAATGCCAACCCACATGATCTCATGATCCTGATGGCACCCGGCCCTGGTGGCGTCATACTCGTAGCCAATCCCTCATCTTGGGGCCCCACCTCATCAAAACCCTCAAATCAGCCAGCCTTTGAACCAAATGCCTCAACCTATCTCGTACTTGGCCACCTCCCTCATCCATCCTCCTCTCAATGTTACTGGCTGAGTATGACAGGTCTGACGCTCTCTTGGAGATGGCCATGAGCTTCTCATCCAGCAGCTGAACCTTTTCATCGAGCTGCCTCATGAACACTTTCTCATAGCATGCCATCACCATGCCCATGCCTCCAATGCCACTCATCATCAGCATTGCAATCTGAGCAACTGATCCTGCTTCTGATTTGCTGATGCTGGAGCCTGATCTATATTGCAACGCCAAAATTTGGACCATGGCTTGATGGTGGCATCACATCAACCCATGCCATGAACAATCAAACCCAATAAATCACATGGCAGATCGTGATGGCCATCCACCCAGCCCCCCATGGACCCCACTTCCCGCCAACCCGAAGTTCCTCGCTCATCTTCCGATGGAGCAGCTGCATCAAAGATCTCAAGGAATGCCGCAGTGGAGTCTGCAGTGGATAATGGATGAAACTCATGATTCCTATCAACACCCATGGTTAAAATCAAAATCTCATGCCATCAACCCCGCTCTTCCACATTCTTCAACCCTGATGGTTCCTATCAGCCATGGACCGTAGGACCCTCCTGCGCATTACCGCACTGTTTTTTTAAAGTCGGTTCACACCCCTGGCCTCAAGTTGAGCCCCATAAAGATCATCAAGGTCGAACATGATCTTATGACATGTGGCAGCATGTCGTCTTTTTGACGAACATGGCGACGCCGGGAGTTGGACAACATGGAGAAAGACTGGCGACCCCCCTCCAGGGCTCCTGACGTCGACGTTTTTTTTTGAGGTACTCTTTGTCACAATGGCTGACGATGTTGATCATTTGCTGTGCCTGTGCTTGCTTTACCGCAAGGTGGCCCAGATGCTATGTCAACAGGTGTTGATCAAGTTGAATCACGCAGACATGCCACACCTTCAAGGCAGTTAATGATTCCCAGAGGTGCGCGTTGGAATCCTATGGAATACTGACATACATACTGACGCTTATGAATAACATGTACATACCAACATGACATGACTTTGAACGAGTGTGAACCGCGTAGCAGAGCACGCGAGAAACACAAATGTTGAATCGCACTTGCATTACTATAAGCAAGTCATGGTTTGACTTGGCACTGGTTATTCATGTTGTGTTGGGTGTTGGTGCCCGGTTTCTGCAAACCAACCGGACAAAGTACTAACAAGTACATGTCCTTCCAATTGACCATGATACCAAACGACGACCGCCAATCACAACGGTGACCTTCAAGAACGCTCTGCTCAACATTTGGCTACCTCCGTTGGTAAGCGTTGCTGTTCCTTGGCACTGAACGTGAAGTCACATGTTGCTACTTGAACCTGTGTTTCGGTAATATGTTGCAGGATTGCAGTCAGATATGATCAGGGGCGGACACAACATGTTGAGACTAGGATACTCTAGGTACTGGATATAACTGGAGAGGAGCACGGTTAGCTGGGTTAGCTGCATGTGTTGGGAGTAGGCATGTTTTTTGACACAAGTGACCCAAGTGCCCATGGCGCAGTCAATTAGATTGAATACCCAGGATGCCAGTCCACCATGGGGCTGCAGGTTTCGCAGGACATGGATGAGAGGATAGGGTAAGCTTAAGTGCAAGGTCTGTGAGGGAAAGGAAGAAACATATTGTGGACAACAAAGCTTCAACAGTTGATGTGCCCGAATGGCTATAGATCATCTCCAAAGCACGCGTTTGCACACAAATTGCATGCTGTAACTAAGTGTGGGCTTGCAAAGTGGCCTAGTATGCATAAAGATTCATACACGACAATGCCAATGATTTTGCTATGCAGCAACTGCACGATGTATTCTTACCAATTCCCACGTGTGGTTGGTTCTATTGGCACTCGCAGGTGTTATGTTAATAATGTTTGTTTAAGGGCAAACACGATATTGGGTACACATAAGTATTGTGGACATCCGCATATTGGGGTAATGTGTAACCGCCCAACACGCGCTTTAATGAGTGTTAATCACTACAAACTCATACTGCGAAGCACTGTATACTGACACAGGCATGACAAAGCTATTGCAGCAGGTTGTTTCTTTTTTTCCATCTTCTGGACCGTAACAACTGCCACTGCTTGCAACAGCTCAGGCCTTGGCAGCAGAAGCCGCCGGCGAGGCCTCAAGAAGCGCCGGATGCCGGGGTAAAAGAGTGATGAGATGTAATTATGGATTTTGATGTAGCGGCGCCCAAATTAAGGTCATAGACATAATAGACATAAAGTAGACACAAGAGACAATCATGGCCATCATGGCCATCATGGCCATGCAAATCATTCCCAGCAAAAGAAGAAGACAACTGGTCTTGTCACAGATCTTTACAGGCTTGAAATCATTTTGGTTCAGGCTGTCGCTGGTCTCTCTGCTGGCTTGGGTAGAGTGTCAATCATGGCGCAGGGCTAAGTTGAGTCCAGACTTGAGGTGCTGGCGTGGATTGGATGTTTTTCACCACGGAATCCAAGGTAAAGGATAGGAAAAAGATGGAAGAGAACGGAAAACTCCCAAATCATACAGCTTGGACACTATGGTTGCTCATCCTCATACTCCTCCGCTCCGATTTGGACAGCTTGGATGATCCAGAATTGTCAAGTTGCTCTCCTTAGCTCTCCAGGTCTTGTAGTGCTGACCAGTGTGACAAAGTGGTCGTGATGGGGTTTTTGATTTTGAGTGGTCAGCAAAACAGCCGAATCATGCAGCTTGACCATGCTGAAGTTTGCTTATTGAATTCGTTGGTTGTTCTGAATTCGAGACTTGGAGTAGACCGACTGCTGAGGTCCTTTGCAACGTTTTTGCCACCCTGTTCGCCGAAAGGGCTTTTAAGAATCCCGATGCCTTACCCTTCATCGTGACGATGACCAATATGAGGAGCGGAGGATGTTGCCATCGGATGTTCAACCCCTGGAGGTCTTGAGAAGACTAACATGGATGTCGTATGTTATGCATAAGAAGACCAACATAGAAGACTAACATAGTATGTTAACACCATGGAAGACCCCATGGAAGACTAACACCAAGAAGACTAACATTACCATGGACCATGGAAGACTAACATAGTATGTTAGTTGTACTTCAGTGGGTAAAGTCAGTGGACTACCATGGGTAATTGGGCCATGGGTGAGCGATTGTTTGCATGAAGAGTTCTGTATCAAGAGTCTAAGGCCGCAGTATATGCGAAAGGAAAAGGAACAGGTAGTGTCAAAGACACTCTTTGAACACTCTTGGTCACTATATATTCTATGGGTCTTGTTGAACTGCATGCCCGAAGCCGGCAAGTATTTGTTTTGCTTCCGAAGATCTTCAGAACCTGTTTCAATCATTTGATAGCCGAAGGTGGCAGATCTCATGTTTGCCCCAATCCTACTTTTGAAATTGATATACTATGTATAAATACAGTGTAATCAGTAAACAATCCGCTCTTGTTCTTTGCACCGTGTTACGCTCATCTCAGTGTTATTTTTGTTTGGTGAAGGACAAGAACATGAAAAAACAAACCACTGTCACTGCACTGTACTTTTGTGCCAGGATTGGCGAAGTCTTGTTTGCCGTGGCATTCCTCGTCTTTGGGCACGGCAGTAGTGGACTGCTTCAAGACTTCTTCCTTCACTGGGCAGTGCCGGCGAGGTTTACAGCTGCAGTGGCTGCCAGCTCAGGGTTGACTCTTCAGTATAGGCCTGGAGACTGGTTTCAAGTCTGTGTTTTCTGGGATGGCCGGATGCCTGTTTCCATTTGTTGCCAATCGTAGGTGATCGAAATAATACATATCAATCTACTACTTGCAGCCTAGAGAGGGTGAATACCCTTAATAATGATTATAAATGTTGGGTCAACTGAACTTGACTCCAAGAAGACAGCGATCAGCCATAGAGCAGCTGACTATGTCACTCCCAGCATATAACCAAACATGTGTCATTTGTTGGGTGCGACATATGTCACTCCATGGTGCCAGGATGCGACCACACTTTGGGTGCTCGCCGGACACTTTGCGGATATTTGGATGACCGCTTTCATGGCCGCTCAGCCAAATCAGGGCGGCTCCGTGTGGGGCGGGGCATTGTGGAGGTTAGTTTCCGGTTAGAAGCGTAAAGAGAGATGATTGAATTAACCAAGAAGGGTTTACAACAGTGTAAACAGTGTATCTGTCAGATACTAAGGTTGAATCCTTTCTTTGGTACTGCTTTATACTTCCCAAGAAGGGTTTACACTGTTTACACTAGAGTCACCTATCCTGTCGGAGGACATCAGTATCAAGATACAGAAATGGAGCACATGTTTATGAGGGTTTGACATGTTTGACTCGATAATTATTTTCGGACTAGGAGCAAGGTGTGCTGGGCAAGGACTTCAACCACTTCATCTGATTGAACTATAGTGACCTCACTCGACGTCACTTTGGAATTACGACCTAAACTTCTGAAATAAGGGCTGTGGCCAGGAAGCCTAGCAGCCTATCTGCGTCAGATAGGGTGTTTCTGGGAATTTCTGGGTTTGTACTATTCAATTGTCCGCTTAGTCTAGTGATCCAATTCTCGCTTCGGCTTCGCGAGGTCCTGCGTTCAATTCCTTATTCAGCACAAATGGTAGCAAAACAAGCTTATCTGAGTCAGATAGGTCGTTTCTGGTTTCCCAGCGGTTTGGGCAC